TCCCAAAATTCCACATCTCTTGTAAATCTTGGCCTAGTGTTTTTTGTTTTGAATAGAAGTCTGGGCGTGTTTGCAGAGAACAGCCATGCCTCAGTACTAATGGATGGCCGGGCTGATTCTGAATGTAGTCGGTCAATAGGGGAAGTTGCTGTCATTAGATTTGGGGGCTGTATTCAATATTTTATATTAGTCCAGGAAGAAGAGTGGATTCCACATCTCTTGTAAATCTTGGCCTAGTGTTTTTTGTTTTGAATAGAAGTCTGGGCGTGTTTGCAGAGAACAGCCATGCCTCAGTACTAATGGATGGCCGGGCTGATTCTGAATGTAGTCGGTCAATAGGGGAAGTTGCTGTCATTAGATTTGGGGGCTGTATTCAATATTTTATATTAGTCCAGGAAGAAGAGTGGAAAATACTAATTAACACAGTAGATCTTAATATTGTAATTTGTACTTGTTTCCAGCATTACCTGGGTCCTTCGGGGCAGGGGCTGGCAGTGTGGGGGGTGTAGGACTGGATGTGGGGGGGGATTGAAAGTGAGGGTTGGGAGGTGAGGAGGGGCTCAAGGCATGAGGTCCCATCCCGCACAGGCCTTTTCTCCTCCCCATCCCTCCACCCCTGGCTGCCTGAGGCTCTTTTCTCTCACCCACCTCCAGCACTATAGCCAAGGGCTGGGAGAGGGGGAAAGGGTTTGGGGCAGGGGGCTACTAGCCGGCAAGATGGCGGAGCCCCAACCCTGCTGGCCCCTCCCTTGGTGGTGTGGCTGCCCACTGTGGGTACTCAAATATCACAGCCCTCTGAACAGCAGCTCCTCCCTTTGCAAGTTGTGGAAAACAGTCCTTTTCCTTGGGGTTTCCAGTTCTCCTGGCACAACCTCGCCTGACCTAGCTTTAAGTTAGGACAAGAGGAAGCTGCATACCAAATTTGTTGGGCCTAGCTCTTCCCATTAAGGAGGAGTTCTTGAACAAAGGGGGTCTCTCTCACACTCACACTCACTTTTCTATTTATTTTAAATCCATTCTGTCATGCTGCTAACCCAGTTATTCCACATGCTCTTTTTTTGGTATGATCATAGCTATTGATGAAAGACTTGATCCATGTTAGAGTTCCATAGCTAGGCAGATCATTATTTTCTGGGTGAGCTAAATTCTTGAGCTAAAAATGGTTCTAAGAAAGAAGGGTTTATTTTTACTCTCCAAAGTTTTAATCCGCATGGGTCTGATCTGGTGCCTGTTGTAATCAAGACAAAGCTTCCCAGTGGCTACAGGGAACCTGTCTTTTAGAGCCCAAAGCTAATAAAAAGACAAGGCATTCAGACTTCTCTGCTTGCTTGCACTATCTCAGAAGTGGATTTGCAAGTGGAAGTAAGCTCTGTCACTTCACCCAAATGCCAGCTGTGTTTAACCTTTGCCTTGGCCCAAGCCTTTTTAAACATAAAAATTAAGAAGTACATCTGTGACGTGGAAAGTTGCGTGTGGTGTTCTGAAGGTTGCGTTTTATTGGGAATGAAATGGGAGCAGCAGGCCTCTGATGTGCTAGTGTTAGGGTCTGTAGAGGGAGTAGGGATTTTAGATCACACTTTCCACCTGTCGCTAAGCAGTTTAACGGTTGCTCTTCAAGCATAATGCATAAAGAGACAAATAGTTACATTTGCCTTAAAGCAGTTTCCACTCTGCATAATGCTAGTTTCTAATCCTAGAAATGCAGGGCTGGGAGGGATCTCAAATAGGGTCTAGCCCAGTTCCTGCCTTGGGACAGTACCAAGGTTACCTAGACCAGTGTTTCTCAACCTTTTTTTTTTTTTTATGAAGTACCCCTTTAAAAAAATTAGAAGTGCCCCCAGTACCTATAGTTTTCAGACACAATTTTTTTTCCCTACCATTGCAACACATTTGTTTAAACAACTTAATCATAGCCAGGAGGGCGATGAAATTTTTGTGTGTAAAAAGTACAAAAATAATAAAGCGCAGTAAAACTTAAAACAAAAATTCAGTTTTCTCCAAATTTCAGTTGTGTTGACGTATCCCCCAGACTTCTCTCGAGTACCGGTACTCATCCCACTGGTTGAGAAACACTGACCTAGACCACCCTAGCACGTGTTTGTCAAACCTGTTCTGAAATATCTCCAGTAGTAACCGCCCTTTATCTCAGCGGATCTCAGATCTCTTAGGGACAATGAATGTCTAGCAAGCCTGGAAGGCAGGGAAGCAGCAACCTTATTTCACAGGCAGGGAGTCTGAAGCCTCTAGAGAAGGGACTTGGCCAAAGTGCCAAGGGGCAGAGCTGGGAAAAGGAGCAGGAGTCTTGATACTCAGGGTGTGTCTAAACTACTTGGCTTTGTCGATGGAGCCATGTAGATTAGGCTGATCGGCAGAGGGAAATGAAGCTGTGATTTAAATAATCGCGGCTCCATTTAAATGTAAATGGCTGCTGCGCTGAGCCGACAAACAGCTGTTTGTCGGCTCAGCGCAGCAGCCATTTACATTTAAATGGAGCCGCGATTATTTAAATCACAGCTTCATTTCCCTCTGCCGATCAGCCTAATCTACATGGCTCCATCGACAAAGCCAAGTAGTTTAGACACACCCTGAGTATCAAGACTCCTGCTCCTTTTCCCAGCTCTGCCCCTTGGCACTTTGGCCAAGTCCCTTCTCTAGAGGCTTCAGACTCCCTGCCTGTGAAATAAGGTTGCTGCTTCCCTGCCTTCCAGGCTTGCTAGACATTCATTGTCCCCCACAGTGTCCTATTCTGGCAGTTAGACTTGGTATTAGGAGCTCTTATTTCTGGCAGCCCCATTAAAAGGGAAAAACAACCCACAATTTGAGATCTGTCTGCTTTGGGTGTCGATATATTGCACGGGTTGAGATCTGTCTGCTTTGGGTGTCGATATATTGCACGGGTTGAGAACCGTCTGCTTTGGGTGTCGATATATTGCATGCGATGAAAGAGAAGAGAACTGTTTTGCCTGTAACTTTGGTGTAGCAAGAGTTCCATTGGAATTAGGCACGCTAACCCAGTTGCTGCTTTCTATGAGCAACCTGCCACGTGTCTTCCCAGGACCAAAATACCAGTGTCCATAAGGAACCCAAATAACCCTGATGATTATTTGTGTACCTTTGCTGTGTCTGTCGCGTGAAAAAACTGGTACAGTAGCTGCTGATTCCGTCTTCCTCCGTAATTTAACACAAGGTTATTAAAATTAGGCACGCTAACCCAGTTGCTGCTTTCTATGAGCAACCTGCCACGTGTCTTCCCAGGACCAAAATACCAGTGTCCATAAGGAACCCAAATAACCCTGATGATTATTTGTGTACCTTTGCTGTGTCTGTCGCGTGAAAAAACTGGTACAGTAGCTGCTGATTCCGTCTTCCTCCGTAATTTAACACAAGGTTATTAAATGCC